TTTTGTAATAAATTCATAATAAACTGATCACATGCAATTCTAGGCCTCTGGCTAACTATCAGCATGCATGCCAAGCAGAATAATTGAAATGACACAAAAACATGATAATGCATGAATAAGTTAAATACAAATTGTCCTAGGGTGGCAATATGCAGTAAACAACATAATTTATAGATCTAGGAGGCGCTACAAGTTGCCAATGTAGCTATAATCCTCTTGGGCTTTCTTTGATGTCCCTTCTCTAAAATTTTTACTTGGAAAAATATTAAACAATAAGGATGAGATAATGTCTCAATAACTAAACCCCTCTCTATCGTGCACACTAGCATGGTGTTAGTGAGATGCTAGGTGGTATAAACAGATTTAGTAACAATTAATAGACATTTATTTAATAGTTAAACTCATAATGACCAGATAAGTCAAATATTTCAACCAACCTCATGTAATTGATCATGTTGTCTGCAATCACCTAAATCCACTCTTATATGTTTCTTATTTTTGTTGACTAGACTCATGGGCTAAGTTCTTTTTATTTGACTGGCTAATCTCATAAGCTCACCACATGAGTGATGTGGACCCTCCTCGAAGAACTAGGGAATGCCATGGTCCCTCGAAGAAGAGGCAAGACAATAATAGTGGTCAATTATAGAGCTCCGTGTGGAGATAATATCATGTGGCAAGTATATGGATCTCAGTAACTCTAATCATCTCCTTGCTCAATGTAACATCACCACTTACTAACTAGAACTAACCATGATAGAAAGGACTAAAACTAGTAAACATACCCTATCATAGTTATTTAAGAGCAATCACATCACTAAGGGGCTAACCATAATAGAAAAGCATTCGACTTTAATTAAGGCTATTATGGTTAGAAAAAGAATAACCTATATTTGTAATAATGACAAACATGGTTATAAAACAATACGCCTTTGAATGATAAATTATAATAGCAGTTTAGATTTGACTATATTAGTCAATACTAGCAATAACTAAACTTGCAAAAATTGTTATTATCACATTGTGGATCCACAATAATTCAATCACATGCAATCTAAGGTCATCGGGCCCACTACCAGCACTCTAGTCTAATGTTCAGACAAAATAAACCAAAGATAGAAGGTATAATACGTTCACTAAGTCAAACGACATAAAAATATGAGAAGGTAAAATAAGTCCCAAATGAATGCAGTCGTGATGTGTGGTAATATACGAAAAGATTACATAAAATAAGGTCCAAAAGCTCTATACTGTCAGCTACAGCTATTGAGTCTCAGGAGTCTTTCTCGAAGGTCCCTCTAACGTATTGTTTCCTGAAAATGGTAAAGCAATGGGAGTAAGATAACATCTTAGTAACTAAATCCCTACCTATCACATACCCTAGCATGGGCTAGCGAGATATCAGGTGAAATGTACAGAGTTAATAATAGTTGATAAACATCTATTTAACATTTAAACTCACAATAATCATATAAGACAAATATTTCCACCAATCTCATGCAATTGATACATTTCAAAAGAAATAACATACTTGTTATTTATTTAAAAGATATAAATATCAATGAACATCCTATGTCATATGCAATTCTTGAACCCAAATCCATCCTTATATCCTCCTTATTTCTGCCGACTAGACCTATGGACTAAGTTCTTTCTATTTGACTAGCAACTTTGACAAGCTCATCACACAAATGATGTGAACCGGCCAAAGACCACAGAGCACTCGGCGATGAATATTTCAAATTTGAGATTATCCGAAGAAGAGAACGTAATACCCAAGGATGTCTAGGTCTTCCATATGGACGAAGGTGACAGATTAAATTGATATTGCTTGACGAATTCCATGGAATGCCCAAACTTGAAGGCAAAGGGCTCTATCGAGGAATGAGACAAACGTGGAACAATATATGAAGTAGCTTAGAGCCTGTTTCGATTCATCATGAAAGAAAATGAACTTCTAGGAAAAAGCCACACAAAAGTTAAGATAATTAATTTTTATTTTATCTTACTTTTTCAAACATGAACTAGGGTAAAAATCAATTATTGTAATGTGATTTATATTTGAATTGACTTTTATAAAAGCCACAAAAAAGTTAGGATGTATTTGGACTAGTGATGCCAATTAATTTTTCAATGAGGGATTTATCTCCAATTTTCTCAATAAAAAATTTGACATGCATAAATATTTTCTAAATGAGCGCTCATTAAAGTTTATATATTATTTTTATAATTAAAATATGAATATTTTTATCCATTTTAATTAAATCATGTTATATTGCACAAGGAAATGCAAAGAGATTGAGGGTTTGTTTTTCAATCATATTAACATTTTTTTAAGTTACAGAGATGCCATGTCATCCTTGTAAATCTTACGGGACAATTTCTGTTGATAACTTAATGGCAAAATTAACCACAGAGGACTCAACGTCTATTATTCATAGTATAGAAAACTGAACCAGCCTCTAAACTGATCAAAGTAGTGGGTCAAATTGGAGTCAAATCAGGAGTCAAACCGGCAAGAAATAAAAAATTAAAAATTAATTTAAATTCTCGTCATGCTATCCAAAAGACTAAATATCAATTTTATACCTGGAATTTCTAACAAATAATTATATACTTATATTTTCTTTCCATTTTTCCTACAATTCCCTTGACAAATTGGCGTCATACTATCATATTATTAAAATCACTAAATATTCATTTAAGCAAAATATCAAAATAGATTTATGGTAACAAAATATTCCTATCTATAATTCTTTAGTCCCTAATTAATAATTTTTTAACATTAAAAGAATTTAAAAAAAAAACCGGGTTAACCTACCAAACCAGTCAGGTTAGCTAGGTTTCTCCCAGGTTGATCAGGTTACACCGAGTTGACCCACTTGCCAGTTTTTGAGGTCGATCGGACTAACTGGGTGACTGATTTCAGATCCAACCCAACTGGTCTAGTCCAGTTTTTAATACTATGCTAAAATTAAAAGGTCAAGAAGATTATATGCGACTGACTTGAAATTCAGGAGAGTTTTATATATTTTCACGGCTGAAGTACATAGTTGGTCTTTTAATTTTGTACAAGATTTTAATTTGGTCCTTTAACTTTAAAAAGTATATTTTTAAGCCTTTAACCCTAACATTTGTTAAAAAATGATGACACTAAGATCTTAAATATTAATAAAATATTTTCAAATACTAACATATTGAGTTTAATTTTCAAAACATTCATGATTGTTACAAATATCATTATCAAATTCTAATGATTTTATGGTTAAAAGACCAAATGTATACTTTTTAAAGTTAAGAGATCAAATTGAAACTTTATACAAAGTTAAAGAACCAAATGTGCACCTTAGTCTATTTTAACCAATTAGAAATAACTTATAAATCGGATAAAAGTAGTAATTATATAATATTCGTTATAGAATAAAGGTTAAATATGTGAATAAAAATTGGCCAAGTACTTTAACCTTAAAGCTTTTGACCCGACAGAGATTAGTCTTAAGTCTAAGGTGGCTTGACAAATGACGATACTATGAGTTATACCCAAAAAAAACAAAAGAAAAAAATTGGACAAGGGCTAAATTTTCCGGCCAAATAGTAACCTCTAATTATTTTTATTTGAATTTTCAAGAAAATTAGTTCTTATTTTTCAAAAATTAGATTTAAAATTATATACTTTATTTTTGGGGAAATAAACCTCTCCATATACTCTTTAAATTCAAAAAATAATAATTCATAATTTTTACTTAAATTTTCTAAACCTTTATATAATTTTAATAATTATATTCACATTTATCTCTTTAAAATTTTACCCAAAAATAGGTATTTTAGCCAAATAAATTCTTTATTTAAATAATTTCCCCGGCCTTAAAATTATCCTGGATATCCCTTTTCTATTTTTCAGGAATTTTGTTTGAATTTTCTCAAATTTTCGCGAATTGGTTCATAATTACACTTTTGCCCTAATATGCTTCTTATTTTTGCTTGTCTCCTTAAATTTCGCTCATAATTACATCATTTGGCCCAATTATTTTTTCCTCCTGTTTTGGCTTTCATGGTCTCCAAATTCTTGCTTTCCCTTGAGTAGTTCATGCATGTTATTTTTCCTTTTTTTCATACTTTATCAATACGTAAAAAGAAAAATCCTACAAAAAGAAATTTAAAATTGCTAAATTTAAATAAAAATTTTCTACAAAAATGAAATATCTACAAGTAAATTTTTTTTTTGGTGAGATTCTCCTTGTATAAAACTACCGGACACGACATATGTTTATATAAAAAAAATTGCTGTGTTTGTATTGTTTGCATATATTCAAACTAAAAACAAGATATTACTATATATATATATATATTTAGCTTTATGCGTTGAAGTCATTTGAAAATAATAATGACGCTGGTGATGATGATGTAATTTCCAAAAGATCTGCCATTTTTGTATTAAAATAATTCCTTATTCCGAGATAATTGCTTTTTTTATAATTGGAGGTCATAATCAAAACTCGGAGTAGTTCAACCCACTGCTGCTTGCAGCTTGAATTCCTCACCTTTTGACTCTCATCATCTATCCCCAGTCATTAGCGGTGTGTTTAGGTTGACAGTACGGAGAATGAAGCTATCTTCTCGACATTGCATTTGTTTGTCGATTACCAGGATGGGTTCTTCCCTGTAACTAATGTGAGCGCAGCTTGAACGAGAACGTGTCTTCAGCATGACTAACCCAGCAACCACGGCCATGTTTCTCCTCTTACTCTTCCGAATCCTTTTCACCACCTGCGCATCCTACACTCCTGCTGATCATTTCTCAGTCAACTGCGGTAGCTCCGGCAATTTTCCCTCTTCCGATGGCCGGAACTGGACTGGCGACAAAGACTCGGGACGATTCTCTCTCATCGAACACTCCAACGGCGACAACTCATCAGTAAGCATCAACGGACTTGGGAAGACAATCCCTTACAACACCGTTCGCCTCTCGCTCAGAATTCTCCTACTGGTTTCATGTGAAGACCGATGGTCAGAAGTTTATCCGCCTTTATATTTACCCCTCGTTCTACGGCAACGATTTCCTTCGTGCCGACTCTTTCTTCTCCGTCAGAGTAGGATCTCACACTCTTTTGCAAGACTTCAACGCTTCAAGCATCGCTGATGTCACTGGCCAAGAAACCATTTCACGAGAGTATTGCGTCAACGTTGTTGACCGCGGTGAGGGGCTTACCATAACCTTCAAGCCCAACGGATCTTATCCAAACGCCTACGCTTTCGTCAACGGGATTGAGATCATCTCTATGCCCCCCTTTCTGTACTACACCAAGCCTGATGACCAACAATCTATGCGGCTAAGTGGTGGAAACATGCAGTTTCCGGTCCAGAATGACAGTGCTCTGGAGACTTTGTACAGAGCTAATGCTGGCGGACGTCAGATTCCTTACGATAAAGACACAGGCATGTTTCGCTATTGGGACCAGGATAATGACTACTTGGAGAGGGAGCGATCGACAAGTATTTCAGCAGGTTTTGGTTTAGATCCAATTTACAGAGATGATCAAAATTATTTTGCACCTGATGAAGTATACATGACTGCCAGAAATTATGGGATGAAAGAAACGTCCAAATTTAATGTGACTTGGGAATTTGAAGTTGAATCAGAGTTTTTTTATATGGTGAGATTGCATTTTTGCGAGTTTGATGAACACATTGAAAAAGCTGGAGACAGAGTTTTCCAAATCTTCATAAATGATGCTTTGGTGGAGTCTGTCGCCGATGTGATGTTGTGGACTAAGAGTCAGAGAAACGTCCCTGTCCATAGGGACTATGCGGCATCGATGCAGGGCAAGGGAAGCTTGAAGAAGCTCAATCTTTCAATTAAGTTGCAACCACATCCAGCTGCGAGAAGCACTTACAGAGATGTTTTATTAAATGGTATTGAAATTTTTAAAATAAGTGGCTCAAATAACCTTCGAGATTCCAATCCTTCTTCCTCACGCAGGAACCGAGAAAAAAAAATAAGAATAATTTCTCTAGTAGTGGGGTCGGCTGTCGGCTTCATTTTGCTATCTCTCATCGTTTTGCTGGCTTATTTTCAATTGCCTAGAGCTGCAATCAAAGAAGGAAATTCCCGGTGGAGACCAAAATCAGTACCAACGTCAGAAATAAACAAATCCTCAATGTTATTATCTGATCAGTGTCGGTGCTTTTCAATTAGCGAGGTAAAAGCAGCCACTAATAATTTTGATGACAGCTTAATTATAGGTGTCGGAGGGTTTGGCAATGTCTATAAAGGCCAAATTGACAACGGTTCAGTTGTTGTGGCAATCAAAAGGCTCAGAGAAGGTTCACAACAAGGGCTCAAAGAGTTCCAAACTGAGATTGAAATGCTCTCTCAACTTCGACACCGTCATTTAGTGTCTCTTATCGGTTATAGCACAAATCGCAATGAGATGATCCTTGTTTACGAGTTCATGGCTCATGGGACCGTACGTGACCATCTTTATGAGTCTGATCATCGCCCGCTTTCTTGGCATCAAAGGCTGGAGATTTGTCTAGGTGCAGCACGAGGATTGCACTATTTACATACAGGTGCGAAGAACACTATCATTCACCGTGACATCAAGTCAACAAACATCCTGATAGACGAGAACTGGATGGCCAAGATTTCAGATTTTGGACTCTCCAAAATAGGACCCTCCGGAATGACGAGGTCCAACATTAATATAAGCACAGTAGTAAAAGGAAGCATTGGATATTTGGATCCAGAGTATTACATGTGTCAAAGATTGATGGAGAAGTCGGATGTGTACTCCTTTGGAGTGGTCCTTCTGGAGGTATTGTGTGGGAGGCCTCCTATCATTCGTGCAGTGGAGAGGCAGCAACAAAACCTTGTAGAGTGGGTTCGAAGATGTGTCGATGAGAATAAGATTTATGAGACGGTGGATCCATTCATCAAGGAATACACAAAGATTGCTTTACAGTGCTTAGCTGATGATGGGAATGAACGGCCGTCCATGGGCGATGTGATGTTGGGCCTCGAGTCTGTGATGGAGACACTGAACAGAGCAAAGAAAGCAGAGCTTGGTGGAGCTTTGAATGAAGAGATTACTTTTGACGAAGGGTAGGCTTTCAATGGGTGGTGGCCATTTACAACCTCGTGTGGTCCTTCAGTGTTCGCCAATATCAAAGGTATTAATTGCATGCCCCATCACTACAATATCGTTTTGTTTTTAGTGAATCTTCCAAGCAAGTTGCGAAGCACAATTGTAATCGAACAAAAGGCACTTGTTGCCTGCATAATTATAGTTTTAAATGGGCAATATTTAAAAAAAGTAATTTTTTGAATTTCAAAATCCTTAAAGATCACATGAATTTAACAAATTCTAAATTTGTCATGATGATTAAATTTGAATTTTGAAATGTTTGAAAATTTATAATTTTATTTTAAGATTTTTTTAAAAAAAAAACTTGAGTCCCTCTCACTAGTTGGTTGATCAGCTTTCGACAACCTATACTGGAGTTTAGGTGGGCCATTAGGCACTAAAGTTTCAGTGATTGGTAACTTTTTTTTGTTGAATTTTTTTAATATTTGTAATGTGATTAATAACTTTATAACAATTTCACAACTTCATGAACACAATCAAACATGTACCTTTTTAGGTTTTTAAATTGTCAATTTTTAAAACATTTGTAACATAATTAACAACTCTTATAATGATATTTACAACTTCCTTAACTCCATTAACCATATGTTTTTTTTTCCAGATTTTTAGGCTAGGATTTTTTTCAACATTTATACTGTGAATGACAACTCTTATAATAATATTCACAACTCTATTAATATCATTAACTAGTTTATATGATAGGGCATAGCTATACATATATAATTTGGTTGAAAGGAATTAAGGTAGGGATCTTTGAAAATATTGTGTCTGTATTCATAGTCTTTTTATTTTTCATGCTCATTAGCTAGACCGTCTAGGTAATTAGTTTGGATGAGCGTCCTAATCTTATTAGATCTAGACCGTTTAGATCTAATAATGATTGAGATTTAAAATTTTTAATTAATAATAAAAAATTATTTTTTAAAAAATGATAGTTAAGATATTATCTTTATTTCAGATTCCATACCTGTTAAAATAGTTATTAATAAAAAAAATCAAATCTAAATCGCTCAAATCATATTTGTACAGTCTAAATCTAATAAGTTTGGAGTGCTCAATATGATAAATATCCAAACCAAGCTTGACCATCCGGACGGCATTTAACCCGCTTTGATGTCCGTTGTACATGAAATATAGTACTACATATTTATATCCGTCTAATGAATATTTGATTTATAAGTACCACTCTGAATTATTTGCATACCGAAATTCCACCTGTGTGCGCTTTACAACTCGTATGGAAAGGTGCATTCAGTTTGGAAAAGCCAATGGTGTATGCGGTGGGGGGCTCCGAAGATAAATGTAAAAGCGGTCCATCTAGAGCTACCCCTGCAAGTGTACAACTGCGTGTTACACACACACACATATTCTGATCTCTAAGAATATATATATATATATATATATATTCTCCTATCATCTTTAATATAGAACCTAATTATTAAGTTGATCTTGATCCTAAATATAAGACCTATTTTTCATATTTAACAACTTTCCTAAATTACCCTTATGAATATTCTCTTAACCATAATTAAGTAGAAGAATGAGAGAGAATATTAAGGAAGATGATTATGGTGTTTTAAGAAAAACATGTCATATTTCTTATAATTAACTAACTTATCTAACTTCCTCAATCTAATCAAATTAGTTAAATAACTCTTATATTAAGGATCGGAAGAGTGTATATATATATAGTACATCACCCAAAAAATACCCTCCACCCCCCTCCAAAGATACTTAAAACACTGAGGGCTATATCTTGTAATTTTTTGATTAGTTTGAATTTAAAAGACAAACAATCTAACAAATAAGAAATAGTGTAAAAAGTAGAAACAATTAGATCTAATAAGATCATAAGAAAACTAGCCAAGTTTTGCAAAAATGATATTGATTCATATTGGTTTGTATAATAAAAATATATTTGTTAGATAAAGTTTAAAATTATTCGTTAAACAGATAAATAAATAAAAAGTATAAACTTGAAACAAAGATGACAGCGATTAACACAAATAAAGATCTATGTAAATATAAGTATTTGGATGACAACACAATGAGAACTTGAAATAGTACAGATTTTTTGGATGTGGTGAGCACAAATCTTGACACCATGAGTACAGATCTGGATGAACAAGTACAGATTTGGATGGTATGAGCATGAATCTCTAGCTGATGATCATGGAGAAATCAATGAACTTGAAGATGATGACGAGTATGGAGAAGATAATGCATTGTAAAGGAGAGGAGCACAAAAAGAAAGTCACAACACAAAAAATAGGAGTATGAAAAACAGGACTGGCATTGATATTACTGATGAATGAAGTATAGAAAGGAGATTGTAAAAAAACTTAAAGAGATTACAAGAGAATGAAGTTTGATTTAGAAGAGACAACCACAAAATAAAATAGGTTAGATCTTTGGGTTTTAAATCATCTTTTAAAAACTCGTAAATATTATTTTTTTAAACAAAATATTTTTAAAACTTTTTATATCAATTATAATAAATATCTAGTTTAGAAAGTATATTTTAGACTGATTGTATCAAAAATAAGTCTAAAAACTTGTAAATATTTTTTTCTAAAAAAATTATTTTTAATATTTTGTATACCAGTTACACAAATAACTAATGTAAAAAGTATATTTTTTCACATCGGCTGTATATGCAAAATCAATTTGAAAATCCATCAATATTTATAAAATTGTTGGGTCACATTTTTTTACACTGTTGTTGCAACCAAGGATGTAAATTAAACTATATAAAAAGAATTTTTTCCAGTAATGACACGACAGCCAACATCCGACGCACTAATTGTTAAAAGATATAGGACCGACCTGCACTGTGCCAAGACCCAAGCCTCCTTGGAGCATAGAGCTGTACTATTTGCATTTGCATGTGATTGAACTGGGCCACATTGAAAGTGACTAAAGCTAACGCATGTAATAAAAATGAGATATTTACTTACATATTTAATTTTAGATCATTTTCATTTATACATATATATATTTGAAGACGGCATTTTTTTTGTCAAAACGTCATCATAAACAACAAAACAAATTACCCCAAATGTTATACGATGAAAAGTATTTACTCAGATACTGTATTTTTTGAAACTCATTAAGGCTATAAACGAGTTATAGCCTGACATCTAATTTTTTAAGATAAAAAGGCGAAACTCCTTCATCCAATTTTTCTTATTTCGGAAAAATTTCCAATGAATGACCCATTTCAGCTTTTTCCTGCCGCGATTCAATGAAAATTTCAACCCACAACCCCATCACTTCACGCATTCAGTGTTTTCATAGAAGGGATATGAATATATTTGAGGAGAAATTATAAAAAAAGACATTAAAATTTTAAAAACATAGATAGGGACTATTGACAATTTTACTTTGAGTTTTGACAGTAATAATACGTCATAAAGTTGTCAAAACTCAAAGTAAAGTTGTCAAGAGTCCCTATCTGTGTTTTTACAATTTCAAAGTCTTTTTTTATAATTTTCCTTATATTTTATATGAAAAATTACTTTTTATTCTGTACTTATATTCAGAAAAGGAATATAACTAAATAATATAAACATAAAATATTTATAAGTCATATGTAATATATCCAGAATCTCCACTTATTTAATTAAAAAATACACACTTATCAATTTCTATCTTTATCATCACTACTCAACAATATTAAAATCAAGGGTCTTATCGAGAGAAAAAACTTAATCTCTTCGTAAATTTTATGAAATAGCTTTTTATAAATAAAAATAAAAGTTATTTATATATTGAGAATTAAGTGCTTCTTGTGTCACACATGATATAAGAAAATTTAGTGTTTATTTATCAGATTATTTTAAGAAATTTTGTGCACTTAAAATTTTTAATATTTTTACTCATTAGAAGCTATTTCATGAAACCTACGAAGAGGTTAGGTTTTTTTTTCACGATAATACCCTTGATTTTAATATTGTTGAGTAATGATGATAAAATAGAAATTGAAAAGTATGTATTTTATAATTAAATAGGTGAAAATTTTGGATATATTATATATGACTTATAAATATTTTATATTTATATTATTTATTTATATATATTTTTCTAAATTTAAGTACAAGAATAAAAGGTAATTTTTTTTTATGTAAAATTTATTCATATCCCTTCTATCTAAATGGAAACAAAGAATTAAAAAAGGGGAGGAGATGTGAAGTAATGGGGTCGTGGGTTGAAATTTGCTCCAAAATTCAGAAGGATTGGAGTGTGGTAGAGAATTGCAGGAATGGGTCATTCGCTATAATGTTGCCAAAAACGAAAAAGTGGGATGTCGGTGAACGAGTCTCACTTTTATCTTAAAAAATAGACGTCAGGCTGGAGCTCATTGACAGCGAATTTCAAAAAATGCAGGGGTAGATGCTTTTTTTCATCATGTAGCATTTAGGTAATTTACTTTCCTATTGATAGCATTTTGACAAAAATGCCTTCGAAGACAAAGATAGAGTAGAATTGCCTAGATAACAAAAACCGATGTTCTTTTCGAATAAGCAAGATATTGTTCAGATAACACTCTTGAGCAGCCAAATGAAGAAGGTACTCTCACTAATCTTCCTCATGTGGATGGCCTTACTAGTTCTTGCAGATCTGAGCATGGCAACTTCAGGGAACGTTAACAACAGCTTCATCATCACCACCTGCCGAGGCGGCTCAGCCGACTGCCTTATCGAAGAGGACGACATTGACGACGTCAATGGGTTGCTGATGAATTCTCATGTAGGCAGAATGCTTTTGGATGCTTCAAAGTTTAAGACTGGAAATACAGGTAACAACAATAAGCCTGCTGTGCCTTGTCCTTTAGGTACCAGATACATAAGCACAAGCTGCCTTCCACCACCAAGTGTAAATGGTAAGAAAGAACGATGCGGTACTTACAAACGATCAGGCTGCTGAGAAATTGCTTAGCTTCTTCTGATATGGTTGATTAGTGATTTCAAATTTGAATGTGATGTGAAGGACTTATGGTTTCCTTTCTTCTTGTGTATATGTGGGTCTGTATCGCCTAATGATATGAATTCCTAGTGGAATGGAATAAATTTCAGTCTCCCTATGTTTGCTTTGACTGGTCAGTTTCATCCTTAGTTCTAACTTTTTGGGACCATTCAGTAAAGTCTCATTAATAAATTTCTTTATCCTTGACTGATCTAT